TGGGCGGTTGGTGTGCTTGTTGCTTTCGCTGTTCTAGGTGAGGGCGTGCCTGAACGTGTGTTGTAGAATTTGGACGGATGAAGGTGTCGGGGAGGCTGAGCGTCTGTTGGATGTGCGGCTGGGTGGGTGGTTCAGCCCAAGGGAGTACGTTTGCTGGGGGGGATGAGAATACGCAGACTGCTGCTTGTTGTTGAGGTGTTTGAGGTCCAGTGAGCTGGGAACGTATTTGTGGTGCGTCATGTGCGCGCGCCGAGGCATCAGGTGGATCTCTTTCGCATGCAGACGTGGTCGTGTACAGGAGCCACAGAAAGTGGGTTCGGCTGTGGCGATTGCCGTCGCCATTGCTCTGCGTGTTGTAGAGGTGGTCGAACTGCAGGGACGCAGGTGTGGATAGACGTTGTAGCATTTGCACGGATGAAGGCATCATGTTACGGGGCGAGTGCCTTTCGCGCGTACGCGTTGGTGTGGTGTTCAGCCTGAGGCAGTACGTTTGTTGCTACTGATTACTGGGTGGTTGGTTTGCTTGTTGTTTTCGCTGTTCTAGGTGAGGACGTGCCTGAACTTGCGTTGTAGCATTTGGTCGCATGGAGGTGTCGGGGAGGTTGAGCGTGTGTTGGATGTGCGGCTGGGTGGGTGGTTCAGCCCAAGGGAGTANGAATGCGCAGACTGCTGCTTGTTGTTGAGGTGTTTGAGGTCCAGGGAGCTGGGCACGTATTTGTGGTGCGGCATGTGCGCGCGTCGAGGCATCGTGTGAATGTCTTTCGCATGCAGACGTGATCGTGTACAGGCGCCACAGAAAGTGGGTTCGGCTGTGGCGATTGCCATCGCCATTGCTCTGCGTGTTGTAGAGGTGGTCGAACTGCAGGGACGCAGGTGTGGATAGAAGTTGCAGCATTTGCACGGATGAAGGCATCATGAGACGCGGCGAGTGCCTTTCGCGCCTACTCGTTGGTGTGATGTTCACGCAGAGGCAATACGTTTGTTGCTACTGATTACTGGGTGGTTGGTTTGCTTGTTGTGGCGCTGTTCTAGGTGAGGAGGTGCCTGAACGTGTGTTGTAGCATTTGGACGGATGAAGGTGTCGGGGAGGCTGAGCGTCTGTTGGATGTGCGT